CTGGCCAGCACCCCTCCCCTTCCTCCAGCGCTGACCGCTGAGTCCAGGGGCCAGGCAGGCTGTCTGGGAGCTGGGCTCAGAGCCGGGTTCCCAGCAAGGCGAGGCCCCCGGGGACCCTGTGTACGGAGGCCCCACCCGCCTGCTCTGCCCCCTTCTCGAGAGCCTTGAGCTGTCCAGGGCAGACGGAGCAGCTGAGAGGCCAGGCTCCTCGCTGGAGCCCACGGCCTGGGGAGCACATGGGTTCCCGGACTTGGTGCTCCCGGGAGGCAAAGCTTGCCCCTGTTAGTGGGGGCGTGCCAGACCCCGGGGGGGGGGTTCCTCCTGGGTGCGTCATGGAGGGCTTCATGGGAGAGGGGGCATCTAAAGTGGGCCTTGGAGGGTGAGTGGACAGGGGAGACAGCGTTCTTGGTTGGACCTGCCTACCTGTGTGACCTGGAATGGGCCTGTTTCCTCCCTGAGGGGAGTAGCAGCGCCCACCCCCAGGGTGTGGCGAGGATTGACAGGGCACAGCAGGGACTCAGGAGATGGGGGAGTGGTCAGAGAGCTGGGCAGGGGGCCTGAGCAGAGGACCCCAGGACCAGGAGGGTTTGCCCTGTCCTGTGGGTGTCAGCCTCCTTCACCCACCTCCTCGGTGGGCACCCTCACTTTGAGACGGGAGTTCTCCCTAGGGCCTGTGTGTGGTCCCCACCAGGAGCACCTCCTGGCCCTTCAGCGCCAAACTCCCTGCACCCCCCTCTCCTCTGGGTGGGAAGGCTTTCTGCATGATGAGGGCCATGGGAGCCCCTGAAGGTTGGGGGTGGAGAGCACAGGGTGATGGGTGGGAATCCTTTCTGCTTAGTGGCCACAGGGAGCCACAGAAGGCTCTAGGGGGAGAACACCCGTGCGGTGCAGGGCACTAGCTCTGGCGGGAGCGCATTGAGGAGGAAGCAGGGCGGGGTTGGGGGGGTGACGCCTCAGCAGGTCGCCGCCCTCGGCTGCCCTTGTATTTCCCCTTCCTCCAGGCGCTTCCTCTTCCTCTGGTCTTGGGGGGCCCTCCTGGCCCCTTTGTTTGCCCAGCGGGTGGGACCCCGGCTATATTTAGGCTATTTAGGCAGTAGATGTGGGAGCGGGGCTGCACAAGCCGGGTCGCCCGCTGGTCACCGGTCACCCCCACCCCCGCCCACGTGATGCCCGGGAGCTATAAATAGCCCAGAACTCAGCGCGGGCCCAGCATCCGCCTTGAGGCCGGCGGCACCCGGTGGCCAGAGGATGCGGCACGCCCTGCTCCCTGCGCTCTAGGTCTCGGCCTCTCCCGGCCCCGCAGCCCGTGACCACCCGGCCGGACACCCCGTGACCACCCGGCCGGACACCCCGTCACC